AACTGGGGATTGAGCCCAATCCCCAAAACCTGGGTATGTGCCCCAACCCAGAATCTAACCTTGATTCCCAGGTTCATAAGTTGGTGCTCAACCACTGAGCCACATCAGCTGGGCTGGATTTATAGATTTTAACTACTTCTTTAGACTCCAAAAGCAGTACATTAAAAAAAAAAAGGAACAAATTGTGCTAAGTGAAATAAGCCAGTTAGAGAAAGACAAGTATCACATGATCTCACTTATATGTGGAATCTAATGAACAAAATAAACTAATGAACAAAATAGATTCATTGAACAGGATCATAGAAGCATGGAGCAGACTGACAAATCTCAGAGAGAAGGAGGGGTGGGGGGGTGTCAGGAGAGATTAACCTGGGAATTTATATGCATATATGCATAACCCATGGACACAGACAATAGTGTAATGAAGGCCTGGGACAGTGGGTTGTGGGGTGGAGGGTGTCAATGGGGGGAAAAAGGGGAAATTTGTAATACTTTCAACAATAAATAAATAAATATATATTTNTTTCAGCTTGTAATTATAGCGCATTCAGTAAGGCAGCGGTTAAATCAGTAACCTTTGTCCCATGTATGTTCCCCACCTAGCTCTTTGTTCTCATGCATACATCATTGGTAGCCCTGTTCCTTGTTCTCGTACATACATCATTGGTAGCTGGGACATGCTGCACTTCTAACCCGGCCACGGTTCCTGGATCAAGGTACTTTCTCATACAAGCATTGTTAATATTGGCCTCATGCTGAGCTACTCCTCATACAAGCATTGTTAATATTACGCTAAGCTAAGCCCTTCAGGAGGGGGAGCGGGGGGAGCAGGGCGAGTGCTCGCACCGCTGCCCACCACTCGGGTCAATGCCTCAGAGATTTCTCTCTCGATGACACTAGGGCAAGCGGGCCTCCCGGGTCTTTTTCCCAGGGCAGCACCTCGCCCGGCGGGTCCTCCCCGGGGGGAGTCCCGCCGGCTCCCCACATATTTTTAAAAGTTATAAACTGCTCTCTCTATGCCTAGAGTATGCAGAAAGTATAAAAGGATGAACTAATTAGAAGAACCAATAAAATTTGAAGACCAGATAGAATTTGTGAAGCCAAATAAATAATCTGATGCCTTTAAAAAAAAAAAAAAGGAACAAACTACATTAAGACTCAGGACCAGGGTAAACCTTGCCATCATTTAAGGGAGCCTATGGATTGACAGTCCCCTAGAACAGGCATGGACAAATAGAAGGGAGCCTCTGGGATATCTGCTGGGAAAGTGTTTAATGCAGTAAGATGACATGACTCTGGGAGATGTGTAGGAACAGTTTTCATGGGAAATGCCAGAGACACAGATGGAGAAAAAAACTGCATGATAAATGGAAAAGAAATGAGCATATCTGCTTTGACTTTTGCACAGTTCAACTCCTGCCCCCTCCCTCACTGTTCCTAACCCTTCTCAAGATCTGAAAACACATCCTGATTTTTTTCCCCCTTTCAGATTCTGGCATCCAGGTGAACCCAATAATCCTGCTGAGCGTTGTGTTATACTGAATGCTCCTTTCCAAGTCTTGTGGGGCTGGAATGATATTCCTTGTATTAACTCTCACATGTCAGTTTGCAAGATGATGAAGATCTACTTATGAATGGGAAATTCTCCATGAACATGTGGTTGAATTGGTATCCACCATTAAAGAGATGAATATTTGCCTTTTAGAATTTTGTGTAAGCTTGCATAAGTGAACTCCAGAGAATTTTCCAGTAGGCTGTCATCTATTCAACTTATATAAAATAAGTATACACCTTAATTCATAAATTCATTCACACAATGAACATCTATTGAGCATTTTATTGTATACTGTATACTGGAGAGCCTGTCTGCAGACAAATGGAGGGAGCATGAGCCTCCTCTCCTAATTTTTGTCTAATTGCTAAGGGGTTAGATACTGATATAACGATATGATGTGGTTCCTCCATTTATCTGGATTTATCTCTTTACAGGCTGGTCAAAAGCAAAATAATACCAACTATTACATTCCATTTTTCTCAGACAGATTCATTGTTTTCATTGACAGCATATTACGCATCAGTTGGAATATAATACACATCAATAAGCTGAAACTTATCTTCCATTGATGTGTATAATACAAACGGAAGATAAGTAGGCTCTTGTGCTCCTTAACATTCTCTGTTTGGACTTGAACTGTCATTTAATATCAGAGTACAGGCACAGGATAATCAGAGATTGAGCATTAGATATTTAGAATTAGAGAATTAGAAGCCATTACTGGTGTAAAAATAATATAAACAGAGCCACTGCATTGCATGTCTTACTTCTCATACCTTTTGGATGTTAAAACTTGGCAAAATAACCTTTGAACTGGGCCTAAAGCAACATTGTATCCCAAATAACTCTTTGCAAAGATAACAAAAAAAGCTAATAAAAATGTCTCCCAACTGAAAATTAAAGTCATTCTTTAGAATTAGCATCACTATGTTAATCTGTCTGCGCCTATAGAAATCCCTTCCTTCTGTCTGTATATTTGTTCCCATTACCGTTCTCAAATACCCCTTGCCATCAACTCCTACTTAGAACATTAAGTTTCTGCCCAAATCCGTGCTTCCAGAATAGCTTTTGGATCCCAAATAAATGCTTGTTGCTTCTCACTTTGGCCTTTTATTTTTAGGTTAACACTGGTGAGTTGACAGATTTATATTCATAAGGTATTCTGATACATTTTTATCTTTAAGTTTTATAATTTCTATGTATAGATTGCCACTCAAAATGGTTCCTGACATCTTTGTAATCCCCTTTTCACTTAAGTTCTTACACATCATTTTCTTTCTACAACATTATAAAATATATGATATTTACAATAAAGCCTGCAATTCATGCTTTAGTATAGTAGTTATAATTAATCATGATAAAGCTGATTCTTGCCAGGACTATCCCAATATGGCCTAAAATTGTACTCTGATTTTCTTGATTTAACAGAGTAATTAATTATATTTACCACTCACTTCTTGACTATATCATAAGTTGAGTTATTTTTATAAGGGTCTGATTTTATACATTATATGTAGAATTTACCAGTTTACTTCCCAGAAAGCAACTTATATCACAATTCTGGGAAATTTCTGGGGAAACTTTATTTACAATGAGCTTTTCCCATTAGTATTTCAATAATATGGGGATGGGATGTAGGGAGGGCAAAAAGGACCTCTTTTCTAAATGCCTTTGATTGTCAGAGTGGAAGGTGTGCTTGACCTGGAGTGAGATGGAGGGCGATAATATTATCAGTGCTGCAACTTTTCTCCTTCCTCCCCCTTCCATTGTATGAATGTGGTTCAGAGTCCATTTTCTTTCATTTTCCCTAGAACACTATTAAATCAAGATTGTATGTAGCAGCTTTTATGTAAGATTTGTGTTTAAGAGTGACATTTAAGTGAAAAAGCATCTAGCTTTGTCCCAATCAATGGATAGAATTGTGAAAAATAACAAACTAGTTTATAGCCACTAAGTTTTGGGGTGGTTTATTATTTAGCAATATATAACTGAGACATCTTCAAATTATTTTGCAGTTTTGAACTGAGATCCTGAAAATAATGAAATACATTCAATCACACTGCTGCCTCTAAAAAGATTAGTAACAATTTCATAATAAGAGGAGATTAATTGTACTATCAATAAATAAAATGCAATATTAAAATGTTTAATTTTTATATAATTTAATACATATTATTGTATAATGGGTTTGTTATATTATGTTATATTACATGATAGGTTGTGGTTCTTAAATGTATGTACAATATTAAGTATGCATAGAATAATTTTTTTCTATTATTAGGGATGCACAATCAAAAAATTGTTTTGAGATCACTATTCTAGAAAAATGCACATATAAATAAATAAATCTACCAATGCTCCAAGCTCTTTTGGTCAAATTGCCCTTAGTAAATGGAAGAGGGGGCAGAAACTCATTGGAATGTCCAGTACAGGGAAAATACTTTTCCCACTGGGACTGAAATGATCAACCTGGATGATTTCTCTAAATGTGGGAATCTCCTGACACCCGACAACTCTTCAGGGCTGGTATGATATTAATTTTCATTACATGATCTCAATACCAAAACATTAATAGTTCTGTTTTTGCCAATACGGAAATCATTGGTGGTGCACACTTTACCAAGATAAATTTAATGACTCCAGGATGGAAGAAATAATGTGACCATGCAACTGTTAAACCAAATGTTCAGTATAAGGATTTGATTAATCATAATCTGTCCACAAAATGAAATGCTCTACAAGTTAAAATTGTTGCAAGTGGGATTTTATAATTAGGACTTTGGCATATATTGTCGGTCTATTTATCCCTTCTTCCTTGCAAGCAAAACTTCAGTGTTGTTTAAAGAGTCACTTTCCTCAAGCATCCCAGGTGCTTTGGGATGCTAACCTCAGATTCAGCTCCCTGGGAGAATACTGACTAATCAATCCAAGGTGATCAAAATAACCACCGATTGGTGGTTTAGCCATAGGCACAAATTGCAAAAGTTATTCCCATCAACTACCTCCCCCTTTTTCTCAGAGAAATTATGGAGTTTATCTCCCTCTCCCAAAGAGTATGAACAGAGAAGTATGTAGCTCTATTTGCTACTGATAGTCATGCTATGATCATGATGGGAACTAGCCTTAGGTTGACAGGAACACCATGGATACCAGAGTAGAACAATGGAAAGAACCTGGTTCCTTAAGGGTGTTGTTGAGCAAAGGAATCAACTATTCCTGAAACACATTCTACTCTGAATTCCATTAACATATATCTGTTTGCCAGCTCTAAAATTTCATACAAATGAAATAATAAAGTATGCACTTTTGTTTCTACCTTCTTTTGCTCAGTATGTTTGTGACATTTGTACAAGTTTTTGTATTTTTTCAGCAATAAATTCAATTTTATTGTTGACTTGTATTCTATTGTACAAATAGATCACAATGTACTATTCATTCTCCTGTGGTAATCTTTATGTTCTTCCTAGGTTTTAGTTATGAATAAATCTGCTATAAATATTCTTTCATATGTATTTTGTGGATGTATATTTTTATTTCTTTGGATATATTCCTAGGATGAAATGTATCCACCATTATAGTATCATAAAGAATAGTTTTACTGCCCTAAAAATCCCTGTGCCCCACCTATTCACACCTTCCCCCCTTCCCCATGACCCCTGGCAACCCCTGACCTTTTACAGTTTCTAAATTGTTGTCTTTTTCCAGATTGTAATGTATGTAGAATCATACAGTTAGTAGCATTTTCAGACTGGCTTTTTTTTTTTTTTTTTAAGATATCTTTATTGATTTTAGAGAGAGGAAAGGAGAGGGAGAGAGAGAAAGAGAAACATCAATGATGAGAGAGTCATCATTGATCAGCTGCCTCCTGCAAGCCCCTGACTGGGAATCGAACCCCGATCACCTGGATCCTAGGTAGATGCTCAACCGCTGAGCCATGCCCGGCTGGGCTCAGACTGGCTTTTTTCACTTAGCAATATGCATATAAGGTCCCTCCATGTCTATTTGTGGCTTGAGAACTCATTTCTTTTTATTGCAGAAAATATCTCAGTGTATGAGTGTATTACAGTTTATTGATTCAACGATTATAGGACACCCTGGTTGTTTCCAGTTTGGGGAAATTATGATTAAAGCTGTTATAAGAATTATGTGCAAATTTTTGTGTACATGTTTTTAGTTTATTTGGGTAAATATCTTGGATTGTATAGTAAGTTTAAGTTTAGCTTTGTAAAAAACTGTCAAACTGTCTTTTAAAGTGGCTGTATTATTTTTCATACAGTAAGATTCATTCCCACCAGCAATGAATGAGACTTACTATTTCTCCACATCTTCACCAGCATTTGATATTGTCTGTGTTTTTGGATTTTAGCCATTTTAATACGGATTTAGGGTGTTATCTTGTTGTTTTGATTTATACTTTTGTAATTATAAATTAATTTTTTTCTTAGAAAATAGTCTGTTCAGATCTTTTGCTCATTTTTAAATTGGGTTGTTTTCTTATTGTTGCATTTTAAAAGCTTTTTGGATATTTTGGATACAACTTTATCAGATATTTTAAAATTTTGCTTAAGATTTCTTCTTTGGCCCAGCCGCGCGTGGCTCAGGGGTTGAGCGTTGACCTAGGATCCAGGTGATCGGTGTTCGATTCCCTGTCGGGGCACATGCCCGGGTTGCCGGCAGCAGCCGATGGATGACTCTCATCATTGATGTTTCTGTCTGTCTCCCTCTCCTTTCCTCTCTCTGAAGTCAATAAAGATTAAAAAAAAGAAAAAAGATTTCTTCTTTGATTCGTGTTATTTAGAAGTGTGCTATTTAATCTCACCGTTTATTTTGGGATTTTCCAGCTATCTTTCTGTTATTGATTTCTAGTTTAACACCACTGTGGGCTGAACACAGACATTGTATGATTTCTATTCTTTTAAAATTTGTGTTTTATGGCCCAGAATATGGCCTATCCTGATGAATGTTACATTTGAGTTTGAGAAGAATGTGTACTCAGTTGTTTCTGGATGAAATTAATGGCAACTAGATTCAGTTGACTAATGGTGCTGTTCAGTTTAATTAAATTCTTACTTATTTCAGTCCAATGGATCTGTCAAAACTGGGAAAGGGGTGCTGATAGATCCAACTGAATAATGGATTTGTCTATTTCTCCTTGCATTTTTATCAGTTCTTGCTTCATGTACTTCTTTGTTCTGTTGTCAGGTGCATTCACATTAAATAAAGTTTGTTATGGTTTCTTGGAATATTCACTCCTTTATCATTAGGTAATGCCTGTCATTATCCCCGATAATTTTTCTTGCCCTGAAATCTGCTTTGTGTGACATTATTATAGCTACAGATTTATATGCAAATATAATATATATAGCTAATTATTATAGATTTTTTTTTTTAAGACTGTTTTTAGAGCATTTTAGGTTTACAACAAAATCAAGAGCGAGGTACAGAAAGTTCCCATACATCTCTTGCTCCAGACATGAATAGCCCCTCCTTTATCAACATCACTCACCAGAATGGTATATTTTTTCACCGTAGATGAATCTACATGGACATATCATAATAACCCAAGTCCATAGTTTACATTAGGGGTTCACGCTTGATGTTGTACATTCAGTGAGTTTGGACAAATGTTCAATGACATATATCCAACATTATAATCTCATACAGAGTATTTGCACTGCACTAAAAATCCCCTGTGGTCTGCCAGTTCATCTCTCCCCACCTCACACTGCAACCATTGATCTCTTTCTTGCCTTTTCCAGAATGTTATATAATTCTAATGACACACTATGCAGCCTTTTCAGATTGGCTTCTCCCACTTTGTAATATGCATTTGAAGTTCCTCCGTGTCTCTTTGTGGCTAAATGGCTCAGTTCTTTTTAGCCTGAATAACAGTCCATTGTCTGGATGTGCTATGGTATATTTACTCATTTACCTACTGGTAGACATTTTGGCAATTATGAAGAAAGCTGTTATAAACATGTATGTGCAAGCTTTTATGTGGACAAAAATTCTCAACTCATTTGGGTAAATACCAAAATGTGTGATTATGGATTGCATGGTAAGAGTATTTTAATTTTGTAAGAAACCATCAAACTGGATTCCAAAGTGCCAGTTCTGTTCCATTTTTCTGTGTCAGTTTTTCTGCAGATACTATATTGTTTTGATTATTGTAGCTTTTGTAGTATAATTTGAAGGCAGGGAGTGTGGTAGCTCCAGCTTTGTTCTTTTTTTCTCAGGATTGCTTTAGCTATTTAGGTTTATTTGTGGTTCCATAGAAGTTTGATGGTTTTTCTGTCCTATTTCTTTGAGAAGTGCCAATGGGATTTTGATAGGAATTGCATTAAATCTGTGTACTGAGTTGGATAATATGGCCATTTTAACTATATTAATTCTTACAATCCACAAACATGAAATATCTTTTCATTCCTTTGTGTCTTCTTCAATTTCTTTCAATAATGTTTTGTAGTTTTCAGTGAACAGGTCCTTCACATCTTTTGTTAAGTTTATTCATAGGTGGTTTATTTTTTTGTTGCTATTGCAAATAGAATTATTGGTC